TACTCAATGCACCTGGTGTAATTCTGAGTCTGTCGATTTTTTACCTATTACAGAACCGTCAAGGTTTAGCAAGTTTGTGTGATTCACTTGATATTAAACGGATATTCCAGTGCGGTTCTCTCCTTGAATTTAGAATGAACATAAATAATGTCAATAAAAAAGACTTATATAAACTGTATAATTATTTCATCAAGATTACAGAAATGTTAATAAACTAAAGTCAACAGTTTCATTGTTTATTATTATTACGTAAATGTTAACATTTTCTGTATTGTCATCCTTGACGTTACTGATTGTGATTATTTGGAATGTGTATATTTGAAATCAATTGTCAAATAAGAGTATAAGTCTAATAATAATTTGGAAACTGTTGCAAGTTTTTTGTAACCCTTTCATTAACAAATGTACCACCCCCTGTAACAGGGAAATTACCCTTTTTGTTAATAAATGATTGATATTTAGTGATTATCTGCATTCCTTGCAAGGAATGCAGATAATCACTATTTGTTACTATGTTACACTATGTTACTTGAGTTTTTCTTGTTTAAAAATAAACTTTATTGATTTTTTTATAATTTTTGTCTTTATTATATTTTCAAATTTAAATGCAATTTTTTATATTATTTATATTGCAATAGCGCTGTGAATAAATGTGATCCGCTAAATATAATTTTTTAATATTTTCACTTTTGTGCTTCTAGCCCTGTTATTGTTATATATTTTGTCCATCACTTATAAACTACAATTATTCCGAACATAATTAAAAATTATTTCTAAAAATGTTTAATTTAATATAATTTCTTTTTGAATCTGATTTCTGCTCATTTAAATGCTAAACAGTGCTATGACACTGCAACTTTGGCCTCAACATGGCATCCACGCGTTAGAGTAGCCATATATTTTATATTTTTACGATATACTAACTAAGTCGATTCCACTTAAATTGAGCAATGGTAGAATCGTCTGGAACTGTTGTTTCTATATTGTTGTTGGGCTGCAATTTGAACCCGTTGTAGATGTATAAATGCCCACTGTCTGGCCTTAATCTCGAGAACGCAGTTAGGTAGATGAAAGTCGAGATCAGATATGCAAAGATTAGGAGTTGATTGCATCGTAAAATTCATATATAGTTAATCGAGGCCTCCTCTTTCTATTAACTATATATGAACTTTCGATGCAAGGCGGAAGTCACCTTGTTTCCATTCAAAACATTTCCTTCGAAAGGAGTTAATATACACTGTTTTATTAGATTTTATTTAAGGAATAAGATTAAAAAATGAATTTTACGTTAGATATATTTTTTAAACCTATTTATAAATAAAAAAATTTTTATATTAAAGAAAGAAAGATGACTTTTTTTACTTCTTTAGTTAAGTTTTTTTAAATTAATAATAAAAGTAACGTGTTGCGTAATAAATGGTTATTTTTATAAGGGCTTTTATTATTATTTAATAATTTCTATTGTCGTCTTCTGTCAAAAGTTACACTTTGTAATTAGGAAGTAAATCAATAATACGTGAAATACTAAAAAATGGAAATGCTAAAAAAATATTTTAGTAGAAAAGACAAAGAAACAGAAGACGATAAGGAGAATACAGAAAAATGTGATGAAACAAGTGAAATACAGAAAGCAAAGACAGTG